TGTGCCGGGCTCTTCCTGGCAGGGGGGGTGGGCTGGGGCTGTGCTCAGGGTGGGCAGCAGTGGTACTGGGGAGTTTACAGGGGGGTTACAGCAAATTTTGGGGTGGGTGTAGCCCCCTAACTCAGTAGTCTCCTGTCTTCCAGTGCTGCTGCAATCCACCTTACCCCAGCCTGCCCCAAGTGCAGCCCTGGCTGAGCCCTGCTGGGAAGAGGGCGGCGCAGCCCCCAGCCCCAGCTCACAGAAGACAGGCCGCCTTCACCCCACACACAAATCTGGGGGGCACATACCCTCCCCCCACACACCTGTGTCCCTCAGACAAGCCACCCATGGCTCTGTCCTGTGCCCTGCCCTGGCTGGGCAGCACCTGCCCCAGCTCCTACCCTACTTCCTCCCTCACCATGGGAGCCTCAATCTACCCCCCCACACCTCTTCCCTCCCTCACACCTCTTCCCCCACAAAGACTTACCAACTGGACACTGCTCTCCAAGCTACCAGGCTACATAACGGCTATCAGATCAGTATCATCTGATATGGCTGGTTAATAATTGGCCATGTGTATCGGCCAAAAAAAATCTTTATTGGTGCACCTCTAATAATAACATTTATATAATTGATTGTCCTTGCTAAAAACATGCATTTAAATTATCAATTCTACCAGTTCACACAAAATGAAAATCAAACACAGTCTATGACAATTATAAAAGAAAAGGTAAACTGAAGCAGTGGACAGTAAAACAAAATGGAAGATTTCTATTTGATGTTGGTCTTTATTCTTTGTGCAAGTAATGCAAATACACCTGGAGAGTACAGGACAGGCTCTGAGTGTTAGAAAGAAACCAAATTGTTTTTTCTTCATTAGCCTAGTATTTAGCATTTCTCACTTATAGCAACCTCCATTTTCCTCTTATTTCTTCAAAGAACCATCAAGGCCACACACACTGATTTAAGTCATTCTTCCCACAAAAACATATTCTGTGTGATTGTGGGGTCTGACATCACCTGCATGACAACTGCATATCTCATTAGACTGAATCTCAATCTAGTCTTGGCCTCTCATTGTTTGTAGTTTTGCACTGCAGTCAGGTAGGTTTCTAGGCCAAAGGAGTGCTTCTTAATCTTACAAAAGGGGAAGTTCAAGACAATTTAATTGCCATCATATCCATCTGCATGCTGACATCTTTAATTTTTAAATTTATGTCTTGTTTTAAGTATGGGGGGAATATTAGGTCAGTGACTCAGTACATTTCCCAGGCCATTTGTCTGGAGGAGAAAATAGATGTTCTTTTATCGTTCAACCCAGAGTTAATTTGGCAGAGGAGAGGCTTCTAGAATACAGTTCTTAAGGTATCTGGTAGATGTAAAGGATCTACTTTTCATCCAGTAATTAAGGGTTCTTAATTGAGTTAAGGTGCTCACATGTATCCACTAGGTTTCAGAGTGCATGAACCGCTCCCCCCCCCCC